TCGTCATCATCTTCCTCATCCTCCTCGTTGCCATCAGAGAGAAGGGGAATCCCTGGGGCTTCTTTCGTCGAGGACGTTCAGACCTATCTCTCCCAGTTGGGCCTCGATGTCAACCAAACCCTAGCTTTTCTTCAAGAAAGGTCGCTCCTTTTTCACTTATTATTCGATTTTTCGAGTTCTTAGACGATCAAAGCTCAGTTCTTTTACTGGATTCGAGATCTATCATCACTCAACTCGTCGTGATTGTTTGTCTCGTGTTGGATCTCTGTTAGTTGCAGAGAGCTGAGTTTATGATATAAAATTACCAGTGAGAAAACATTTTAATTCGTTCGATGCAGGCTTCAACAGTACAAGATCGTAGAAATGAAGCTCCTCGCTCAGCAAAGAGATCTTCAGGTTCTGCTTTTTTTTTTTTCGCTTCATTTATTACTATGTTGATTGTTTGTCTTCTTAAAAATGTAGAAGGGCTTTTCTCGTAGTAGACTTTGATAAATAAATAAATCCTATCTGTATATTAGGCCTCCAAATCTTCATATTTGTTAAGACAACTTAATGGATTTTCAGGTGTAAAGTACAAATATGTTGTGTTCTTTTTTCTTTTATTTTTTGGGAGAATAATGTATAATTATGTTGTTGTCATTAAAGAAACGGATTCGGATCCTCTCCGTTGATTTGTTTAGTTGGTGGTTGTGATTTATTTCATATCTATCACTCACCATACCCCATGACTTGCACTATGCATTATCACAACCATTGGTTTGTTTAGTGGGTATTTGTGATTTTCCTTTGAGCCTAAATGAGGAAAATAGTGCAATTCATTGGGGGTATGGTAAGCGTTAGATATGGAATGAATGACAACCACCCACTAAACAAATCAATGATTATGATATTGTAGTGGTCTCTCCAATGCATTTTTTGGCATTGGAGAGGATGCAAATCCTCAAGAAAACTTAATGGATCATGGGGGTAAATTATAAAAAATAAAGATTAGGAGGTGTAATTTAAAACTATGATAGAATTTAGGGTCTAATATGATAAAAACCCAAAAATTCTCAATTGGGATATTTTTAGTCTGTTGGGTAAAGTTTATTTGTAGTTGAAGTACTTCATATTCCTATGCTGCAGGCGAAGATACCAGACATTGAGAAGTGTTTAGATATTGTTGCCACACTACAAGCCAAGAAGGGTACTGGTGAGGTTAGCCTTTGATTGCTTACCATTTCTGTTTCATTTGAATTGTGAGGTGAAACAATAAATCACAAAAAACTCGCACTTTATTACACTACCGTGGTGCGGATAAATCAGCAATTAAGTTTATAAGTTCTTCACTAGTTTGAAAAAGTTTGGTACATTGGTTTTTACCATTCAAAAGCTTAAACTCAAGTAATGTCAGGCTACATTTTTGGTAGTAGTTCCTTTCATCCAAAATTTGCATGTATACCTTGATTGGGAGTTGATGGGGTAAATTTTAAGAAGCATTCGTTTCCAGTTTCAATTGGTTTAACTTCTGCAACATACTCCATGTTCAGGTGATGTATTCAAACTTTTCCAGCCCATCTATATAGTTACACAGTTTTTTTGGACTTAACATTTCTCTGTGATTTCTTCTCCAAGTGATTCAATATGCTGTGCATTAGTTTATACTAAGTAAGTTATTTACTCTTCTCAGGAGACACTAACCAGCAGCATTTTTATTTCAATTTTCTTTTGACTATATTTATGTACACGCTGATGCCCATTTGGAATCCACATTATCAGGCCTATTCAATTTTCAGTCTTTGACATTTCAGATTTTTCTAAAGAAACTTGAATCCTTGTGATTCTAGAAAGCTGTAGTCTACAATATGAAGTTATGGGTTTTTTATAATAATTTATTGTCTTGAATTCTATTCGTTATAGGGAACTGCATTCTTGTTGTACAGCCTGTTTTTTTAAGCGCTACTACTTGGTAAGAAGTATTTGCACTGTAGCTCTATGTTCTCAAATTGCCATCTCCTTTACTTTTTCATGCAGGCTCTGATTACTGATTTTGAAGTTTCTGAAGGAATCTACTCACGAACTCGAATAGAGGACACAGATTCCGTGTGTCTTTGGTTGGGAGCAAATGTCATGCTAGAGTATTCCCTTGAAGAAGTGGGTTTAACTTTTAATGATCTCATACCTTTGATCAAGTTGACATATTTGCATTTATAGTCTTCTCACATAGAGAAATAGCATTACCAGTATTTTTTTCATCGATTCATGCAGGCAGAAGCCCTTCTTAAAAAGAACCTGGAAAATGCTAAAGCCAGTTTAGAAGTCCTTGTCGCTGATCTCCAATTTCTAAGGGACCAAGTGACAATAACTCAGGTATATTCACCTGTCCAATTTCATTTTCTTTTGATTGGCCAAAAAAAAAAAGAACTTAGAGAACTGTTTTCTTGGTTGAAGATATTCTCATGATCAGATATTGTAGAGCTTAAAATCCATGTTCTGGAGTCAAACCTAGGTTTACAGTATGCTTACCTCCATAGAAAAGACAGCAGAAATTCAAAATATTAGATTTTTGGGATCGGCTTCATGAATCACGATAATTTTATTAAGTTAAACTATTATTTAAGTTCTTCACGGGGTCGGCTACATATGAGGAACTTAATATTCAAGAAGATGCTGTAATCCACCTTCTCCCCTCGCCAAAGAAGAAAAAGAAGTTGGTATCTAGATGTTCTTAGCTTGGCTTCTGTTATTTCTATTGTGCAGGTCACAATTGCTCGGGTATACAACTGGGATGTTCATCAGCGAAGAAGCAGGCAACCCGCTAAAGAAACCTGATATTCTGTTCCTCCTCATTGGAGCTGTTTAGTTGATTGTTCGCTTCGTGGTGCCTCTTCCGCTTATTGTTTCAGTGTAAAATCTTAAAGCTTGCAGAATTTGATGTGTTTACGCGTTGTCGATATGTTTCCTTTACTAGAGCCTTTATGGTATAGTTTCAGGGGATGGTTGATGTTTTCTCCGATGTGAGATTGAGATGTAACATTTTGCTCTGTTCTCCGAGAATTTCTCTGTGCTTTTTCGTCGGAATATTTATTTGATGTTTCCTATTTTTTTTTAGCGTGACATGCAATATTTGCCATCCTTTCTGCCAAGTAGAGGTTTCCTCATTGTATTTGTATATGTATTTATTTGATTTGTGGGTTATATGTTCTCTACTGTGATATGAACATCTTGATGTCTAAACATTTTGGAGTGATTTTTTCGGTTCCAATAATTTTGATGTTTTGTTAGGACAAATTTTCAAAACTGATCTTTTTGGGTTTTTAATTGCAAAAAACGACCCATTTCAATCTTATTTATAAAAAACTGACCCAGTTGGTTGAAACTGGGTTGGTTTTTGAAATTTTTTTTCCTAATCTTCACGGGAGTTCAACTCCCGTGAAGTTTTGTTATGAGAAAAACTTCACGGGAGTTTAACTCCCGTGAAGTTTCCCAAAAAAAATTAAAAAAACCGACCTGTTTTCTGCCCCTGGCTGAAAACAGGTCGGTTTTTATAAATATTTTTAAAACCGGTCGTTTTTTGCAATTAAAAACCTAAAGGGGTCGGTTTTAAAAATTTGTCCTGTTTTGTCATGCTTGATTTCAATGAAATTAAAGAGTTTATGCATGCCAATACTTCTTGAAATAAGTTCTCACCAATGATAAAAAGTTCTTTATATGAAATTTAACAAAGATATTAACTTTGAGAGGTTTTCAATGTAGAATAGAACAAAAGATGTGAAAATTCTAGCAACAGGGGGAAAACGAAACGTTAAAATTTAAGGATAACGTGACATTATGGGAGACTGCTGATCATTATTCAAAGATTTCAGTATCTCCTCTATCCTCCATATCTGAAGATTGACCAATTTTCAAGAAGGTTCAAATATATACCTAATCAACTTATCTATTAAAACAATTCAATATAATTGTTTCTACATTCCTTAGGAGCGGAAAAAAACAAAACAAAACAAAAAACACCAGTCAACTTCTTCACTCCTTCTGGAGAGGCTAGATCTACTCTTAGGCCGGCAGACGTTATTGTCTACAATTGGAGTGGGGGGAAGCACTCTTGTGTTGATCTCACAGTGGTGTCTCCGTTGGTGGGGTTTGATAATGAAGAGTTTAAGGTTGGGCATGCAGTGGATAGAGCAACAGAGACAAAGGTGGGCAAACATGATCAAGCTTGCAAGGACAACCACCACAGCTTCATTCCGTTCGCTTTCGATACGTTTGGTTTCCTTGCGGCTGATGCGGTGGAGTTCCTCAGGAGGGTACAAAAATTCATAAAATAAGAATGTGGCGACAACAAATTCCGCTGAGTATGTGTTTCGTAGGTTGGATTTTGCAATTCAGAAAGGATTGGCGACGCAGCTTATTGCCCGCTTGTCATCATGTAATAGTTTATCGATTTATCTATCTCTTTATTTTAAGTTTTTATAAAAAAAAAACAAAGGATAACGGATCTGAGGACTGAACCCAAATGGGACCCAATGCACATTTACGCCCGTTTAGCTTAACGGGCCCCGATTAGGATCTAAACCCGACCCAATACCAATCACAAGTTTAGGTCTCGAACAGCACTGAGAAAGCGCGAAACAAGAAAGTAAAAGGGGAAATTTTTGGGGACAGGCACTTGAACAAAGCTCGGATCTTTGAGCTTCTCCCGTTCTTAAAATCCGAATTCTAGCGAGTCAAGGTCAGTTCAATTCACTTCAATCATCTTTTTCATCTGAACTTTTATCGATTTTGTCGATCCCCAACCAAAGTTTGCTCTTTTTTCACTCAAATTGAAGAAACCCACAAATTTATTAAATCTCCTTTAATCAGCTGATGAAACTTGGGAGTTTACCTTGCAAATAACTAGATTTTTTTTGTAAGGGATTTTTAACTTTCCATGTTAGTTTTCTTAATCTTGTCGACATTGTGGAATATTATGTAGTCTTGCAAATAACAAGGTTTTTTTTTATGAAAATAATGCATTCCAGTTTCCCTGCAGTAAAATTTTTGAGACAATAACGGGAATTTAAATTTCTCTATGGAACTAATAATTAAATACCTACCTTTGTTTATATTATTGTGATCATATCTGTAAGGAAAATATTTGAGCTTATCTTTATTTTTCTAATTGCCATATTTACTATTTTTTTTTCCCTTTAGATATACCGTATTTGAGAGAGAATTTCTGTGTTGATGTGAAAATGTCGGCTTCTACTTCTAATGATCGTGCTCCCGAGGAGGATACTACGGCGAATGTAAGCCATTCTCCGAAGGAAAGTGATGCAAATCCAACGCTAGAGTCATCCCGAAACTCAAAGGAACATGATGCCAATGTTGAGTCAAATGTATCTCATACTTCGAAGGATAGTGAAGCAAACACTTCCCCTAGAGCAAACCAAGCTTCGGAGGAAGTTGAAAAGAATAATGATGCGACCAATGAGCTAGATACCTCGGAATCGGCTGATGGTTCGCATGTGGACCCACAAATTGGCATGAAGTTCCATTCGCAAGAGCAGGCGTTCAAGTTTTACAACTCTTACGCTAAGAGAAAGGGCTTTAGTGTTCGAAAGGGTCATCTTTCTCGAAGAAAGGATGGGAGTGTTAGGGATAGACATTTTCTATGCAGCAATGAGGGTTATCGTAGAGAGCATCGCACTCATATAACTAAGAAACCCCGGCCACTTGAGAGAACTAACTGTATGGCTCGTATTGAGTTTAAAGTGGATCGAGATAATACATGGATCGTCAACAAGTTCATGGATGATCATAATCATCCTCTGGCTTGCCCGAATAAGATACACATGTTAAGGTCTCACAGAAATAAAATGCCTATGCAACGACCATTCATTACCGAGATGGATTATATCGGGGTGAAACCGGCACAAGTGCATGATTCTCCGGAAGAGGCTGCTAAAGTCATAGAAAATTCTGGGTTTCTTTTGAAAAACCAAAGTTACTATTTGCTGCACTCTAATAGGACTAGGGATCTTGAGAAGGGAGATGCACAGTTCCTTTTGGACTTTCTGAAAGATAAGCAGGTGGAGGATCCATCCTTCTTTTATGCAGTGCAAGTCGATGAGAAGGATAGGCTGACGAATTTCTTCTGGACTGATGCAAGGTCGATATTTGAGTACTCATGTTTTGGCGATGCCGTTTTATTTGATACAACCTATCGAGCAAGTAGGTATGATATACCGTTTGCACCTCTCATTGGAGTAAACCATCATAGGCAAATTGTCGTGTTTGGTGCTGCTTTACTATTAGATGAATCGACGGAATCCTTTGTTTGGTTGTTTAAAACTCTTATGACTGCTATGTCTGGAAAGCAACCGAGAACATTCTTCACAGATAATTGTGATTCACTATCGAAAGCAATCAGTTTGGCATTACCAGAGACAAATCATCAACTTTGCCTTTGGCATATAATTCAAAATGCACCCAAAATAATCCCTCATGTATATGGTCACGAGTCCTCTTTTCAAAAGGAGTTCGAGAACTGGATACATGAAAGTCGCTCTGAAGAGGATTTGCAGAAGGGATGGGAAACTTTATTAACTAAATATAATCTTCGAGGTAACTCGTGGTTCGAAGACTTGTATTCGACTAGAGAGAAATGGTCTTCTGTTCATCGTAAAAGCTCATTTTGTGCTACAATGACTACAAGGCAATGGTGTGAGAGTATGGGAAGCCAGTTCAAGATGTTATTCTACAGAAAATTGCCTCCTTCGAAATTCATGGTGCAATATCACCAGGCCCTCCTTCAAATTCGCGAAAAAGAACTCTCTGAAGATCGCAAATCTAGGCTGTGTAAACCGACTCTATTGGCTGGCGTGCCTATGTTAACGGGAGCTTCAGAATCATACACCAGGATAATGTACAAGGAATTCGAAGATGAATACAGGAACCAACTCGCTTGTATCTGTGAACCTGTTTCAATGAGCGGAACAGTTTGCACTTTTAAAGTTTCTTCTCCTCAAAAGCGCAGTTACGGGCTTGTTGAGTATGATCCATCTAATATTTCTGTCACCTGCAGTTGTAAAAAGTTTGAGATGATGGGCATCCTTTGCATGCATGCTCTAAAAGTTCTCAACTACAATAACATTCTTCACCTCCCATCATGTTACATTCTAAAAAGATGGACGAAATATGCGAAAGATGGGGTAGAGAGTAACAGACCTCAGCGACCTGATGACCTTCACGATCAAAAACTTTTGGCGTTGCGATACACTCAGGTTTGTCATAAAGCCCTTACTATTGCGGTTAAAAGTGCATTTTCGAAAGATGCCATGGAAGTTTTCGAGAAGGGGCTTGATAGATTTATGGATCAAATGGTATACGAGTTACATAACGACCCTTCAAATAAGCAAGCAAGCGACATGAATCTTGTTCATGGCATGCAGCAGAACACTGTAGAAACAGCTAATATGTGCTTCGATGGCTTTTAGTTATCTTTGGAGCTCTGGCTTTTGCTCTGCTCGAGTCATAGTTGTATCTGTGTTTATGGCTACTTTTCTCAACAGTCTGCATCATTTGTAATATTAACCAAACATTTTCATAATTTTGTACATAAATCTTTTGTTGGCTACATATTGTGTCACTCTTCCCTTGGTCATTTATGGCCATTCTTTTAACTGTTAGCATGAGAGCTGAGATATTTTGTGACTGTTGAAGAAATCTCTCTGGAATGTAAACAAACTGATTTGCTGTTTGCGTAAAAAAATTGCACAAAACGGTTTGTTCTGGGATGTAAATGACTGAGAATTCCAGCACTGATGAAGGATAATAAATTGTTGTTTCTTGTGCTCATTGTTTATTGATGCTTTTATGAATATGTGGATGTCTTGTGAGAGTGTTCAATGGGGCTCTCTGCATGTTAACATGATTTGCTGTTTGTACAGATTACACCAAATGATTGACTTTTGAGATGCAACAAAATTGAAATTTAAGCGTTGCTAATTTGCCCGTTCATTGCTATTATTCCTTATTGATGTTTTATTTATATCTGGTAGTTAGGGGTGCATTCGGTCCGGATACGGCTCGGATATGATGCTTATCATATCCATATCCGTTTACCCATCTCGGATACGAATACAGATACGGATATACCTCGGTAAGAAAAATTTATAACCATATCTGCTAAAATCGGATACGGTTACGGATATACATGCGGATATATAAGTGGATATGCATGCAGATACAAAACAGATATGAGAAAACTAGATAGTATTGAGAAAAACATAGTTCATGTGATACAAAAGAGTTTGTTAATATGTCCATTATAATTAAAAAGTTAAGATTAGACATATTGATCATCAAAAGTAACCACAAATCCATAATCTAAGAATCGAAACTATCGTAAGAGTATGACTAATATGTATTCGGATATTCCAGATACAGATATTTCACTACAAAACCATATCCGTAACCATATCCTATCGGTTATATATTTGAGTAACCATATTCGTATCCTAACCGTATACGGATACGGTTTAGCACTCCTACTGGTAGTATATCATTAATGATGGTCAGCTTATTATGCAATAGGAGGGGGACACCTCACCTGTCCCCCCTGTTAGTCCCATATTTTGGGTCATTGAAGAATTTTTCATAAAACATATCTAATGTCTATACTGTACATATTTAAGAAAAGCAGCCTTTTTGGTTTGTGTGTCAACTTTTTTAGAAATATCAAAAATACCATCACATTTCAAAAAATCAAAAGTAAATACATTCACACCTGCAAAATGTAACTAAAATGCCGAACACTTGAATCAACACAAATGCTCTCACTCTCTTAAAAATCATTCTGAAATGCCCTCACATTTTTTTGTTACACACGCATCGTGTGCCCTGGAGTACTAGTATTATGCGGCCATCTGTCTTTATGAAGGTTCTTTTTTTTATGTGGCAATCTGTCAGATTTTTCTCTTAAAAAAAATTACCTACTGAGCTAAGATCCCGACCTCCCATCACGTGCACCTCACGTGACTAGTCTCGCGCTAAGACCCCGACCTCCCGTCACGTGCAACCCACGTGACGCATATCTACCCCACCCCTCCAGAGATCCGCAGCTCTCATCACGCGCACCTCACGTGGCCCATCACGAGCCCCGAAACGCTTCAGTTTTTCCAAAACGAGGTAGAGCGTAAACCCTAATAAATCCCCGTTCAAACTCCGCGAAGGTGAATCTCTGTTCCCCAAGTTTTCTGCTTTCATCTCGTCATCCTTATGATTTCTTCAGGAATTTTTAGTATTTTAGTCTCGTTTTGCTTAATTCGTGATCCCTTCGCTTTTTTTTTCCCTCTCAATATTGGAAAAATATTGCTGTTGCATTGAGGAGAAAAGCCTAATGCTGGAGTTTAGTGGCTTTTAGTTTATTTCATCCATCAAAGTTGAGCAGCAGATAGCTGTTTTCATGAGTCATGATCCTAAAAGAGATACTTGTGCAGTAAATATTGAAACCTAAACAGAAGTGCTTGAGAAACGGACGAAGTTAAGAAAATAATTATATGAGTACATAACTTATATCACGGGGGCAAACAAGTCTGAAAGTAGCAAGAGAGGATCAGTTATCCTTTTTTCCCCACACTAAACATTTCAAGCACAGTAGATTAGAACTAACAAAACCGCCAAATTGTTTGCACCAATGTACAGATGCCTCTACGTCCTTCACCTGCATTCAAGTAACAAGGAGGTTCTATTAACACATAGAGACACCAAAAACATCCTCTTCTAAACTAATGAAAATTCTTTGGCAACCAATATAAGAAATGAGAAATAAAAAAGAGGTCAACAGATGCATATAACACATTATCACAGATACCCCAGCTTTCCACTTTGCTACCTATAATAACTACTGAACCGGAGTTGAGTTTCCATAGAAATATAAGAATTATTAATCTAACCATGCAAAACCTTCCATATTATACCTAATATATCTAATAACTATCTTGACCGTAGTTTACGAGTGTCGGTTATAACTAGAACTAGCAAACCGCTTTATCATGATGGATGAAAGCCACTGAGTCCTATTTCCAACTTATTTACGAGTATCATATAAATAATGAGGTACAAACGTGCAGCCCTGACTAGTGGCTACTGTATAAAATGCATCAAGTTCAGGACATCAAATACAATGACAAATACAAGTAACAGAACCGTTTAATCAAGAAAACTACAAAGCAAAGAGTAACGAATGGAAACTCATTTAGACAGAAATATTTTTGTTGCTTATAGAAACATCCATTTTTCTTTTGAGAGAACATGTACACGGTTCAAGAAACTTCATTTAGACACACACGGACACACTGAAACCTCTCTCTTCTAAACGAATGGAAACTCATTGACAACCCATCCAAGAAAAATGGCCATTAAACAAAGAGGTCAAAAGATACATATAATGTCATAGATACCGAATCTCTCCATTTCACATCTTTGTAGTTATAAGGCCTGAGTTTACAGGTAAAGATCATGACCCATGAATATAGCTATCTGCTCAACTTTGATGGTTAAATAAAGGGTAAACGTTTAGAAGAGAAAGGTTTCAGTGTGTCCGTGTGTCTAAATGAAGTTTCTTGAACTGTGTACGTGTTCTCTCAAAAGCAAAATGGATGTTTCTATAAGCAACAAAAAGATTTCTGTTTAAATGAGTTTCCATTCGTTACTCTTTGATTTGTAGTTTTCTTGATTAAACGGTTCTGTTACTTGTATTTGATGTCCTGAAGTTGATGCATTTTATACGGTAGCCACTAGCCAGAGCTGCACGCTTGTACCTCATTATTTATATGATACTCGTAAATAAGTTGGAAATAGAACTCAGTGGCTTTCATCCATCATGATAAAGGGGTTTGCTAGTTCTAGTTATAACCGACACTCGTAAACTACGGTCAAGATAGTTATTAGATATATTAGGTATAAGATGGAAGGTTTTGCGTGCTTAGATTAATAATTCTTATATTTCTATGGAAACTCAACTCTGGTTTAGTAGTTATTATAGGTAGCAAAGTGGAAAGCTGAGGTATCTGTGATAATGTGTTATATGCATCTGTTGACCTCTTTTTTATTTCTCATTTCTTATATTGGTTGCCAAAGAATTTTCATTAGTTTAGAAGAGGATGTTTTTGGTGTCTCTATGTGTTAATAGAACCTCCTTGTTACTTGAATGCAGTTGAAGGACGTAGAGGCATCTGTACAATGGTGCAAACAATTTGGCGGTTTTGTTAGTTCTAATCTACTGTGCTTGAAATGTTTAGTGTGGGGAAAAAGGATAAATGGTCCTCTCTTACTACTTTCAGACTTGTTTGCCCCCGTGATATAAGTTATATACTTCATATAATTATTTTCTATAGCATATTTTTTTGTACTTGTTAACTTCGTCCGTTTCTCAAGCACTTCTGTTTAGGTTTCAATATTTACTGCACAGGTATCTCTTTTAGGTTCATGTCCATTTATGATTAATACGGTCCTTATTTGGACTGATGCAGGCTTGAGCTAGTTGGATGGCAAGGCAACCAAGCCCTGAAATTGATGATGAGCTTTTCAATGAAGTGTATGGGAAGGAATATACTGGTCCACTTAGACCAACTGGCAACAGCATATCAGTAAACACGCCAAACAAAAGGCCCCATGATGATCATTCTGCTGATGACGAGGAGCGTCTTGATCTTAATGCTGTTCCAACTGATTTTACTAGCAGAGAGGCCAAAGCGTGGGAGGCTAAAGCAAAGGCAATGGAACGGAATTGGAAGAAGAAGAAAGAGGAAGAAATGATCTGCAAAATATGTGGAGAATCTGGTCATTTTACCCAGGTATTGTGATCTTTCAAGAGATAGTTTTCATCAGTATCAGAATGTTTACCATGTGTTTAGTTGCCTGCTACTCTTTTCCTATATCATCTTATAGGAGTCTAGGACCAATCATTTCTTTTGATGTTGTTTGGATGCTGACACCTATAACAGTATTGCATTTCAGCATCGAATGTTCTGCATAGCTTGTAAGTTGTACAATAGTTGCTACTGTTACAATCTATATTTCATATTTTTCATAAATACTGACTTCAAGCTATTAGGCCTCTTTTCAGTAGTCAACAGGTTTGGGGTCATATTTTCTAATTGCTTGTTTTGCATACACAGTAGTCAAATTATCTTCTAGTCCAATTGTATTTGAAGGACGTAGTATACCTTTGGAAGTAGTATATTTGTATTTGTTGAGTCATTTTCTATGCTAATGCTAAAGATGTAGAATGTTTTTCGGAACTAAAGCTAAAGATGTAGAACGTTTTTCGGATTTAAGCTATTTGAGAAAAATATATTTTGGTAGGAAACAATATCCCACCTGCAGTTGAGTGATTCAGGTTACTTGAAAGTATACTGAGACTGGTGGTTTTGCTCAGGTTGGCAGAAGTCAATCAAGCGCCAATGATTTTGGGGGAAGGAAAGGACAAAGCTGTTCCATATGATTATAATTTTGGATCTGAGCATCTTTATTAGATTTGGTTGGACAAGGTTACAAGGCAGTAGATGAATAATTGAGGACCTAGGTCAAATAGTGCTCATAGCCATTGTAAGACAAGTCGAAGGGGATTTGAAGTTGAAATGTGCTGAATTATAGTTAAATACAAATAACATTGTCAGAAATTTAGCTCATTGTTTAATGGATGAGGGGACATTTTAATATTACTTGAGATAAACTCAGATATATTTCTTTGAAGTTGTGGCATTGTTAAGACAAGTCGGAGGGGTTTTGAAGTTGAAATGTCCTGAATCATAGTAACATAGTTAAATACAGAAAAACCTTGTGGAAATTTAGCTTATTGTTTAATGGAAGAGGGGACATGTTAATATTACTCGAGATCTGGGAGACGGAACATGTTAATATTACTTGAGATAAGCTTAGATATATTTCTTTGAAGTTCTGGCATTGTGCATGCACCAAAGTTTGGAAATAGGGGCTAATGGCAACTCTAGATTTTTATACAAAAAACTTGAAAGAAAAATCACATAGTTTTGAGCAAGTAGGCTATGTAGATTTTCAGTCACAATTTACTGACTCAGTGATATGTATAGAATATTGGGTAACCATGGTTAATACTGTGGGTTTAACAGGCCTCGTGGATATAATTATGCATTTTAAACTGTATATGTGTCATTTGGTTGCAGGGTTGTCCATCTACTCTTGGAGCAAACCGCAAAACTGCAGATGTTTTCCAGAGAGTACCTGCAAGAGATAAGAATGTGAGAGCCATTTTCTCTGAGAAAGTGATCAGCCAGATCGAGAAGGACATTGGTTGCAAAATCAAATTGGACGAGAAGTTTCTGTTTGTGAGTGGAAAAGATAGGCTTATTTTGTCTAAAGGTGTAGATGCTGTGCACAAGCTTATCCAGGATGATAAGGATAAAAGTTCTACAAGCTCTCATAGTTTGAGATCCAAATCTCCTGTTAGAAGTCCTGCAGATTCTCGTTATAGACAGTCTGAATATCAAAGGTCAAACCCTAGTCCCAGAAATACTTCACACCTCCAAGGCAGGGCATTTGATCAGGAAAGGGTTGTTGACGATGGGGTACATGAGGACCTGAAAAAGTTTTCAAGGGATTCTCCAAGAGGTAGCGACCTGATCATGTTTACTTATAAAAACCATGCAGAACATTTCTAATTTGAAATACTTGTTATTTCCTTTTGATAAATTGAAGAATTCGAATAACAACTCCTTTATTTGTTTAATTTCATTTTACCTGGTTTTTTTTGCAGGAATAGGTAAGTGCAAGCTTTTTGTATCCAAATTTGAAGTAATTCTCCTTGTGATTCTGGTCAGACAGATCAAAAGTTTGTTATTAAGAGTATGTTTTGGGCTTATACGGAACATATGGGTTTGGTATTTTATATATTATCTGTCATCTTCCTCCGTAGTATAGACTATTTAAAGCTTTCAGAGGTCAGAAAATCTGAGCTTTTGTTCATATTTCTTCATTGGCGAAGCTTATGCTAGTGAACGATGCAGAGGCCAATCAGCCCATTCCAGATCACCTCCACGCTCTACTTATCAACATGATTCTTTTAGTTCATTTGATGGTCAAAATCATAACAATGGGCTGCTCAAAACTGGCCTTAGTGTAGAAAGGCGTGGAACAGATTTTCATTATGATAAAAGGTTCGACTTTCCACAAACTTTAGAAGAACTAGAAATGGCGTTTAAGAGGGAAGTGATGGAAGTTGGAAGTATGCGGGACCTAGAAGAAGATGAAGAAAACTACAAGCATCGTGAGGTATGACTTTGTTCCTCAATCTCATAATGAGTTTGACTTATTTTAAGTGTATCTAATGGAAAATATAAATAGCATCATATGAGTAGATATATCTAATGCCAGAGACTATCATCTTGTGATTGATATTTATTTTACGCACTTGTAATTCTTTTACTTGCAGCGTGTTCGAGAGCTGAGAGAGAATCACATGAAGAAGCTTGCTGTTATTAGAGGCAAGCACATGAAACAGTGGGAGGAATTTCTTCAGCTTGATACCCAAAGGCAGAAGCAAGCTCGCTACCATTCATACAATCAACTCGCTTGCACAGAATATAACCAGTTGTCTAGGGATGCTCAATATGGTGGACCTAATTTACCTGTGGATTCAAGAAACAGGAACCTATTTCCAAGTGAGGACTATCCAGCCTCAAGGCCCCATGATTTACTTGGTGATCTTCAGCATCAACGACATGATGATTTTGGGAGGGCCTATGGCCGATATTGACCTTAGGGTGAATTTAGAGGTGAGTTTCGACCAGTTCCATTTAGTTATCCAAGTAGGAATCTCAAATTTCCAGACATTCTTTTCTGGCATTATAAGTATGGGGGTCTGTTTTTGTTGGTAAAGAGAGAACTTTGTGTCATCGTGTGCAAATGGACCTGGTAGAAATATACCTAGCGCCCTGGAATTTGTGATGAACAGCTGGAAAATGAGCAAGGTACCTGGCAAAAGATAAAGAGTAAAAAGAGCAGGGGCAACTAACATAATATATTGACAGTGAATATGAAATTGAATATTAGATATTATTATTAATTGGCTTGAAGTCATGGGATATGACTGACGAAGGGATATGACTGACGAACTCTTAAGACCTTCTGAACTTTTAGGATTTTTTTTTCTTTTTTGTCATTTTTAATAATCTCTTCTGTTGTCTTCTAATACCAGGACATATTTCTAATTAAGGGACTTGACATCAGTTCTTCTGTAGAGAAATCTGTATCTTCTTGATCATGTAGTTAAAAATTAAGTATTACGGTAAGGGCACAATGTCCACAAATGCGCTGAGAAGTTAATTTTTCATTTTCTCCCCCAAAGCTACGAGAATTTTAGATTTTGTTTGGTAAAAGTACATTCCCTTGTTTGATTTGTCAACCCCAGATAATGACAAGAAAGTCTCCGTCACAGAGGAAACGTTCTGGGTTCCATGTATATATCACAGCAATGGAACTCATCTTAATTGTTTGGGAACTCATATTCTACGACAAAATAGAGTGCAATGTTGCCAGCTTATGCTGGCAAACTTTCTTAGAATGCGATTCATGAGTTGCATTTTCATCTTCCTGTACTTAAATATGGTTGTCCGAATTTTCAGGGTGCAAATTTCATGGTCCCTGATAACTCTTCAGAGCTCTGATTGCCTGGTAAGTAATCAAACCTATCTAAAGACAATTAGATTGTGCGTGATGATGGTGGTTGAGAAATGAAATTTTTGTGCATTTCTGAGAATTTTGCATATGGAGGCGGTATTTTGGACTCAGCATTACTCTTTCGAGTTGTTTGCAGTGTAGTTTCCTTGTAATGTGTAACGTGACAAATCCAAAATGGTTAAACTACACGATTTCTTTCTTCTTTTTGCCAATTTGGATGACTATTCCGAGTAGCTAGCCATTGCTTACCTCTTGCTTTGTTGAGTTAAGAGTATATGTCAACTGCTTTGGCCAGCACTGGAGAAAACTGTTAATTTCCCCAATTTCTTTCGGTTTCTTCTGCGACGTCAATAGCTACTGCTGGAGGTATTGTTTGGGTGTGAATCATGTGCTCCTCTGATTCCAATTTGATGTCTCTTTGGATTTGGATGTCTACAAGGATGCACCATTGATGGCTGAATTATACTAAATGTCGTCATCTTGTTCAATTGCCTAACTGGACATGGGACATGGACCTTTTTATCGTGCTGTTCTACATTGCAGGTAAGAAATCGAACTTCATTAGCGTAACGCTTCCAGCATTTTGCATTTGCATGTGCAATATTGACTCGAAATCTTTTCATATGTATGTCTTGTAATAATACATGCTCTAGTTATCCTTGTTACCGCAATCTCATGTTGTTGATCATATTGGAAGATGGGTTTATTGGATCTTGCCAGATTCTGGGTTGAACTATATGAGGAATGAAGTTTATGACTAGTGTTTCGCAGAGGGCGATGGGGGTTAGATTTTGACGCGGGCATGCTACAGCTTTTTCACAAACTAGCGCGATGCTAGTTGTTGCAAAATCAAATGTAATGCAACTGTAGTCCTTGATGTTGGAACTCTTTAATTTGAATGGAACAACTTTCTTATTTGGGTTAATTGAGGATAGACCCCTTGTACTATCATCCAACTTGTAGTTTTATTGTTTTATTATTTGCATCACAATTTACCACAAATTTTTCTACCCTATGTTTCCGAATAAGGATTGCTCTGCAGGTGTAATTATTTTTTCTAAATTGAAGGGCATGCTCTAGTCATCAAATGCATCGCTGGAGACGATTGGATACAGTAAATTAGTCGTGATCTCTTTTGCCATCGTATATCGTATCTCACATTACTCGAATACGTCAGCCAAAGTTCTCGATTGCACACTGCACACAAAGGCATCATATGAAGCAGTTAGGTGAAATTCAAAGATCCTCCTTATTATTATTGAAATAAGGATGTTTAAAAACACACAATAAACTGCAATATAACCAGTGAGACCTCCTAGTTGCAATAAAGATTTAGAGAATTTGGATACAACCCCAAGAAATTCATGATCTGAATTAGTTTCAGTGCATGCTGCAAACATGGTCCTTTGATGCCCAACGACTGAGTGCTTGTAACAAGCAAAGAGCAGCCAACAATTCAGTAATTATTTTTACGACGAGATTATTACGTCACCAATGACCAAGAAGAAAATGAAAATCCCATTGAATTAAACTTCGAACAAGAGTTCAAGTTCAGACATAAGTTAAACCCCCTTTGCCCGGTTTTCTGCAGCCATTACAGCTCTATCCTGCTGGCGAAGCCTCTCCCCCTCACGACACAAATATCCCTGAAACTTCTCCTGCACATACATTGAAGATGTCAATGCAAGATGCACCTCATTTACACCCAAGGAATATAACTAAGTCATCTCACAAAAGCACAGTCTCCCTCCAGAAATGGAGTTTGAATTCTACTACATATAGTGAATAAATTGATTATTAATGCATTTTGATAGGAAAATAGGTTACAAAAGGTCATTGGGAGCTGAATTCCCTTAAAAACAGTGGGCAAAAAATTGTGCTCCTATCAAAATTTTGCTTTTTGTTTGAAGATCAGATCTTCTGATTCAGAAGTTGAAGCAACCTTGTACAAAAGCATGCTTTTGGTTTGCTAGGTATAGGTCAATAATCAGTATTGGTATTTAGTAGAATACTAGAAATCATAGAAAAGTAACCGATATGGGCAATTACTTTTGGACCCAAAGACCATGAAACCTTCCCTATGTTTTCCCTTGGAATTATACCCGAAATAAAAAGCTTAATGGAAGGAAACACTTCAGTTGTCTCATAATTGTAGGTCCTGTAAAGTTGGGTAGAAGAATAATTTCTCAATTGATACTGATGATGAAGAAAGCCACTAGCCCAAAAGTTCATTTTTGCTATAAGATAGATAAAGAGTGCAAGGGGTGAAACAACCTTGATCCGTCTCTACAGCCAGAGACTGCTTGTCCAACAAGAACACGAGTATTTAGAGGGAATTATTTACAGTTTATCCTACTATCAGTTTGCTACATCCTTGCTGTAACAACTAACAAACATAACTATTACAAAAAGAAAAAGGAAAAGACACAATTGCGTGCTTTTTCTGTTAGCCAATAAAATGTTTGTAAAATGTGTTACAAGTATTTCCTTGACTTCTAAGCATGAAGCATGCATAACTATCACAAGAAACTTCTTGTCGTGCTATTGTATTCTGTAATAATCTTAGAATTGGTTCTATGTGTCGAACCGTGTATTACAAGTATTTCCTTGACTTCTAAGCATGAAGCACGCATAACTATCACAGGAAACTTCTCATCGTGCTATTGTATTCTGTAATAATCTTAGAATTGGTTCTATGTGTCGAACCATGTGGTGTTTGTGTCAGCATGACCGTGTTTATGATTCCCTAGTTTCTTACTGATAAAAACCGCAAACAATCTAAAAGAACACACTCAAAAAAAAAATCTGTGCGGAACGATTTCTACGTCAGTGATATGTGCATTCTTTTGAATCACTATCTACTATCAAAGTTCTAGAGGTCTTGTAACTGTAGATCAAAGGAAGTTATCCAAGGAGAAATACAGAGATAAACTCTTACTTTTTGAGTTTGCAGTTTCTTGCACCATCACCAATTTTGAATTGTACCAAATTTTTTTTATACTAGATTTTCTATCAAAAATAACAACCATTGCTCCTTCACTGAGATTCAGATCCAAGATCAGCAACAGGTTTTCAATCAAAATCTTCTAACCTAATATTGGCAACCCTTCAACAAACCCTAAAAGCTCGCCAATTTAAGATCAATCCCTAGGTTTAGGGATTTAGCTCCAAAGATCTCTACTTTCCTACATCAGATGCTAGCAACCTATGTGAATCGATCGCAAGAGATAATCAACTCTTAATTCAATAAAAATAACATGTAAACAGATTTATCAAAAAAAAAAAAAAAAAACTGAAACAGTAACAGTTGATTTAAAAAAAAAAAAAAAAAAAAACTGAAACAGTAACAGTTGAAACTTTCTAGGGTTTACCTTGCCGCCAAAGAGGAAGAATTGGGCTAGGGCAACGGTGCCGACGCCGCCCCAGATCACGATCGTCGATGAGAACAGCGACCACTTCCTGTAGATCATCTCTCCTCTAGTCCTTTTCCCCTTTAATTTTCTTCTATTTTTTCGCAAATATTTTCGTTTTTTTTGGGCTCTTGATGGATGCTTATTATTATAAATAGGAGAGAGAGAGAAGTTGGGCGTTTATGCATATAAGTCCACTAATAATCAAACATTTACTTTCAAATCAATTTATTCTTGAAAAAAACAAAATAAAGTGAACAGATATGGAAAAAAATAGAATATTTATAGAGCTCATGCGCGCTCTGTTTATCTTTTATCATTTTAATGTTTTCTTTGGTTTATTAGTGATAAAATATAAGAACTTCTCAAAACTCAAAAATATGTTTGAAATTGCTTGTTATGCTTTAGATTATGGATAAATTGGGTTTTTCTATAGTTGTACATGTTAAGAATTATTAAATGATTATCAACTACTTCCACTATATAGAAAAATATGTAAAAATTTAATAATTTTTCATTTTTACTACAATATATTAAGTTGTGGCATGTAAATGACCATATTACCAATTTCAATAGAAAAATTTAAAACCATTAAATTTTACACATCAATAAATGATATTGAAGGTTCGTAGAAAGCACTATAGAAAAACACATCAAATAAACAGATTTGAGCAAAATTCTGAGCCTATTAAAATAAAAAGAATAGTTTTGACTGCACAATTTCTTAACACTTCTAATGAGGACTTCTATTGTAAATTACAAATTGTAAACGAGGCTTTTTGTAATATATTTATTTATTTATGTGCCCTCCTAAAACACCACCTCAAACAAAACTGAGGGCAATGCTGCAAACTCTCCAATATTTATTTATAAATTCCTCCCTTTCCCTTTCTCGATTTCAATCATTTCTCCAGAGGGGGCCATTGAAGCTGATGATTAGGGTTTCAAGGTTTCGATTTTAAGGTAAAAGTTGCGATCTTTAGAGGTTATAGAAGCTGGCATTTTTTATTCTCATGCAAATTTCGATTTCTTTGTAAATTTTGGCGAAAAAGACAAATTTTTCCTGTAAAATAATTTAAACAAAGAACAATAGTCTTGGTAAATTACTGTATGCTGATGGATCATTTTCGTACGAAATGCAGGAAAATGCAGGAAAAATGAGTTCGATTTTATCCCAAAAAAAATGCGTTTGTGTGCAAAAGATTGATGTATTTTGGGTAGTTTAATTTTGTTATAACATCAGAGGATCTCATAATTGTGAAAATTGGCATGAGTTTATTAAGAAGTCTAGTTACCAAATATGCATCTCTTAATTGCAAATTTGATGCATCTTAATTAAGAATTCAGTTTGATTCTTGAGAATTTTGCCTTCTAATGTATTCTAGGTGCATCTTGTTCATGGTTTTGCAAAAGAGATGGGACTCCTTCGATATCGTTTTCAGAAGAAAATATGAATGTTATAGGTCGAACCTACACCCCTTATGGATTCGAAGAGTTCAAATGATCAAGATCATTTCGTTGATCTCGAAAGCGGAGCAAGTGAAAGTGACGACGCTGTGGACTCCTTGGACAACTCATCGAGCTCTATCGAGAGAAGTTTGATAAAGAAGCTCGGGGTTGAGAGTTCGAGGGAGAAAAGCCAAAGAAAGCCTTCAAAGCCACCACGGCCTCCTAAATCGACACTTCCAGTTGTTATCGATCAGAAATTGGTTAAGGAAATATCGGAGCGTGCTATGTTGAAAAGGGCAAAATTTGCGAGGATGAAAGCATCCAGGAAGAAGAAAAATGGGAAGAAGTCATCTTCTAACGGATGCTTATTTGCTCTGGTCATCACTGTTTTATTCTGCATCATCATAGTTTGGCAAGGTATGCATTTTTAAAGTTTTGCTTGTTCCAGTTTGTTGTATTCTATTTATCTACTTTACATTCATATCCGAAACCACTTAGATACAGATAATTTGCTGAGAAATCTAGCATTTGATATCCACTAAAATCAAATACAGACACAAATTGATTATGAACAGTGACCCTATTCACTACAAGTTGATATGGACATTGACCTTAGAGATATAGACAAATACCGAAGCGAATAAAACGGCCAATTCATTTGGGTATAATCGGTAAGGGACAAGATTCTAACAGGTATGCTAATATATGCGTAGCAGTAAAGGCATGACAGTTAAGTAGGACAAACAGGTTTCGGAGATGCACGCATATAGATATCTGAATCTTATGTATCACAATTTTTGCAGACAGGACCTTTCGATACCCGTATCTGTATCATCTTTCGATACCCGTATCTGTATCCAAGAAGATATGTATTTGTTTGGATAATCTGAACTCTTTTACATCCTTAGTTCTAGGTATATCATTCTACTGGTTGTTGCGAACTGAAGTTTGATTTAGAATTTGGATATTAGGTGGTCATCCCTCTAATCCCCTTGATTTGGATGCTAGAGTATGCAGAAAATGTTAGAAAAACAAAACAATTATGTACCAGATAATAATTAGATACAGATGTTTCTCCTTCATTCTGAACTCTCATAAATAACCACAAGTAGAAAATTGTTTTTTGACTTACTCCTGATGCTAAAAGGGTCACCGGGAAAAAAAAAAGATCCCCTCAGTGGGTTTCTATGGAACAATAGAACTACACGAGGGCTTATCTACAACTAACCCTAGTTTCAAAAATTAGTTACTGTAGCCTTACTAGGGCTGCAAGCTAGTTTTTGTTTGTGCAATAAATTACCTCTTTTGAATTGTTTCTTTCTTCCATTTTTTTGTTGTTGGGACTTTGAGCTCAAAACTATCATATTCTCCAGAGAAGGAAAAGGATAACAAAATTGCTGATGAAATTGGAGTCAATTTTTTTTTTTTTTTTTTTTTGGGGGGGGGGGGGGGGGGGGGGTTCCAGAGAAGGAAACTAAAATAAGAAAATTGCTGATGAAATCGGAGTCATTTTTGCAGGAGTATTTTCTAAGAGTAGATCAAGTGAGACGTTACACAGTTCTCCTGAATCATCACTTAGAAGCTTGGCTCAGTTTCGCAGAAACCTCTCAACTCAGACCTCTTCATTCTGGACTTGTATCTCCTCAAGAAAAAATTCTTCCATTCATAAATACACGAAATCATGAAACATGTCTGTGAACCTTGGAAAACATGCGGTTTGAGGTTGAATTAACAATTCATAGCAAAGTTTAGGCAGTTTTGCTTCCTCCATAACAAACTCTACTTTGTTCGTAATCGAAATTTTTAGTGAAAACATCACCCATTTTATACATCACATTAATTGCTATACAGAGATGCTTCGCAATCTGCTATTTTTGTGGGTTATGTACACACAAGTAACATCTATAATTTTCTAATATCGGTCACTTTTCAATTATGATGTTTTTACAGTGTTGCGAAACGGGTATACGTGATCCATGGAGGAGGAGAAGCTAGCAAAGAATCAAGATGATCTCTTCATCCAAATTCTCTGTTGTTCCTTAATTGTCTTCGCGCACAGAATATGGGGTTTTCTATCCGCCGACAGAATGCAGAAAATGATGAGTTCTGGACATATGGTATCTCAATTAAAAATACAAACCAAGAGAGAACAATAATTAATCTTTCTTCAAGATGGATTTACTATTTTTTGTAACTAAGCTCATAAAGGGCAGATAAAATACGTTTGGTTTTGATTACAAATAAGACCTGTAATCTTTATAGTTTGAGTTTGTTTAAGCAGTGCTTTTCCTAATTTCATGTTCTTTTCTCCTTTGCTTAGTTTGACTAGACAAAAATGTGCTCCGTCTCGTTTTCTATAGCCTGCGGTTGAAATTAAATGATTACTGTGGTCTTAACGGATTATGAACAATAATGAAATAAATAAAAGGTTCTTCTCTTTAGTGTTGGAAACGTTGTTCGTGGAAAAGTCAATTTTGCCTTTGTGAATAGTCCCACATTGGAAGACGATATGAAGTTCAAGTGGTTTATATTGGTTCATCCCTTATTGGACTTTGAATAGTGTTTTGGTTTTTGTGGGTTTTGCAAATTTATACCTTTTGACTCGTTCGTAATTTTGTATCTCAAAATTTTAATTTTACCGTTTTGTAATTCTTTTTGACTCGTTCATAAATAACGGATGCGGAGATGACGCGGGGAGTTACTCGGATCCTGTGCAACGTGTGCGGATTTGGAGCAACGACTCTTTGGCCTCCGGCTCCTATATATACATGGTTCTTCTCCCCGGGGAAAAAAAACACAGCAACAAGAAGTCTTTCTCTCTTCTTCTCAATTTCTCTCTTAAAAATTTCGACTACTATTATTTTTCTTTTTGGGCAATCATCTTCGTCTGAGCAGAAGCTCTGCTACTCTCACCCGAGTACGGAGGCCGGCTGAACCGGGGTTTTTTACCGCTAGGGGAGAGAGGATCGACTGCGCCAGGACGATAAGCGGGTCTTCAATCTTCTAGGGCAATGAAATCACGACGGCTCCCGATCAGGCCTAAATTTCTAACTTTTATTTCGGTTTTTATACTAATATTCTCTTTTTGACAGATTTAGGCCCTTAAATCTTACATATCACGAATTAGTTGCTCAAATTATTTAAATCGCTACTGCATACCTCAACTCAACTCTTAAGGTATTTTGAAATTAGTCCCTCCAGTCTAGAGCATAAGTAGCAATTGCAGGGAAATTAGTCCCTCAAATCATTGACTTTTCTATTCGCTACTTAGTTCTTGTAAGTTGTTTCAAACTAATCACTTTAATTGCTAATTCCACTATTGGTTTGAGGGGCTAATTGCAAACAACTTAAGAGCTGGGGGACTTCAAAATAATTTCTATGATTTGAGGAGCCTACTTCAAAATAGCTTATGAATTGAGGGCCCTAATAGCAAACGCCAATTATTTGAGAAGCTAAATCTCATAAAATGAAAGATTTAACGGGTCGGGTTCGGGTCCATGTATGGTTAACGGGTCCACGGGTAACGAACTTAATAAAGATCCAAAAGATGGAAACTTCATCTTCTCCAAATGTCCCCCTTCACTCCCCAAACCCTAAAATGCTCAAATCGACGGCCCTGATCCGTCCACGTGGCCTCCGCACAGCGGCCGCC